AGTGATGAGCGAGGCTGTAGAACAATACTGCAGTGTGGCGGTGGCGCAGTGGCAAGACAGCGGACTATGGCGCAGTGGCAAGGCAGCGGACTACGAAGCAGATGGTCGAGGGTTCGAGTGCTGTTGCTGCTATTTTGTTTTGCAGTTCTATAAAAAGTGTATTGGGTGACAGTAAACGAAAAATACTCATTTCTAAGCAGTTGAAACAAGCTATTTACTGCAAAAAAGTCCTATTTCTACAATAAGCTATTATCTTCTACAATATGTAGATCTGTGGAGGTTATGATGTCACAACAAGGGATTCAATTGATATATTAGGCTGGAAACTAAGTTTTGCAACTGGTTTCATAACTTCACTCTTTGAATAGGGCGCACTCAAACTTTGGCATTATGTAGGAAGCAATGTGAGGTACAAACGAGCACAAACTGTCTAAATTCCGAACACGAAATAGAGAAGTTTTAGGCGTTTTTTGAAAACTAGTGAAATTTGAAAATTTTTGGGGTTTCAAGCTAAAATGAAGCCTTTGGCAGCCTAGACCATGCGCAATAATCCGGATTTGTCTATAAATTGTTGCTGAAGGTTGACTCCTTTGGCCTATTAAGAAAGAAACAAAATTTAGGAGCATGTCGAGATTTGGCGTCCTCACAAATTCGAACGAGTCGATGTACGCAAGAGCTGCTGGGGACGACCGTCAATGAATTAAGAGTCCGAAGCTTAAATTTTGCCAAGACTTTACATAGTTAGGTTATTTGACATGCCAAGCGCGAATATCACATTCATTCCTTGAACCAACGCCTTTTTTCTTGTTTAGGACGAGACTCCATATCGTACCCCTACAGTAATTCTACAAAAAGCCCTTATCACGCAATTTCACTATCGTTTTCGTGATTAACATGTCGGATAACACCCCTATGCCAAGTTTCAGCCAAATCCGTCAAACTTTGAATTTTTCCCCTTCATACCATGCACCTAACCCACACACTGCGACGTCAGAATTTGATAGGACAGCAGCTGCGCTTGTAGCTTACGTAATAACCAACGCAGTGGCAAAATTTGAGTGCGCCATGTTGCGTGAGAGATAAGTTATGAGACCAGTTGCAAAAATTAGTTTTCAACCTAATATTAACATGTATGAAATACAACCAAAAAATCCTCAGAGCAGAAAAGCTTCTCGCAGCGCGCGCACTTGCAAAATTGCAATCGATTCACATCCCATGTATTGGCTCTCGGTCTGAACATTACCTTGCATTATAGGGATTCCATCCAGGGTCAAGCGTGGGGTGCGGCACGCCACACCTGGGGGGTCGTATTGAGGAGTAAAGGGGAGGGGGTCGTAGTTGGGTAATCTGATAATAGTGATAACATGATATTCGTATCATATCCATAATTAGCATGTCAATTAACCCCTGTAGACAAAGTGTGAGCGAATTCTGAAGATTCAAGATACTAGGCTACCTAAATGAAATGGTCAAATTCCAACATGGTTAACTTTGTTTCAAAGGTGAATTAGCTATCCGTTTTTGCACTCAAGAAAAAGCACTACTCCTTCTTTGTCCACCTCAGGAATCCCGCTTCAGAAGACCTGCAAACTATGGAATTAGAAGTCAACCAACATCTCGTTTTTTTCATTTTTCGCTTTTGATCGCTGTGCTTTCACCAAATATTACTCAGAGCTAAGAAGACAAATCAGGCTCCAAACAGTCCTGTGGAATCTGCACGGTTTAGGCTATCGATTCATATAAATACTGTCCGCTAAAAATGTTTTTTGTTATAGTTAATGGGGTGCGGCACACCCCCTTAACTTGCCTTCAAAATCCAAAAAGCGCTCCACTGCTGGTATAAATATTGAGCACATAGCTTCTTCTTGTTACATTAAAAATTTGGAGCCGAACGCCCCACCCATAAGAAAATTTTGGTTCTTTCAATATGCCCATTCAAATCAAAATCAGCCGTCAAATTACGTTTGATTGTAAAGTGCAGTCACAGAAAATCGGGCGTACAGCTCTCAGAAATCTGGAAACTCTCTAGAAAAAGATGGTGTCCTCCAGAATGTCACACTTTGAGGTTCAGAGGTTAAGAGGAGGAAGAAGGGGTCGCTTGAGGGCTTTCATGGGAAGGAGGGGGGGGGGTTCGAAAGACTTGTGCCTGACCTCTTTCTCAACTTTGGTAATGCTATCTTAGGTATATAGTTCAGGGGGGGGGGGGTCTTATTAAGACAACAATCAGGGGGGGGGGGTCGTAACCAGCGATCGTGTGCCACACCCCGTGCTTGGTCCTGGTTATAAACTCCCACATACAGCTCCCTTTTGAAGCAGTTGCCGCTTTAAAGACTTCTCTGACCACTCCATTTTGCAACTTTCTGATGCTATCACATCTCGAAAAAGCGTTGATATAAAATGTTTTGATACTCTTAAAGTAATGGGCATTACGCTAGAAAGAAAATTGTTTATAGTAGAGTGAGCGGCACAAAAAAATCCTCAGACGTTTCGTTACAGAGCATAGCAGTTGTTAGCTCGCATTGCTGATCTCTAGGTCGGTAACAGTAAGGCGGACAAAGTATTTGGACTCGACTGTTTGTGCTGCATAATTTCAGCCTACAAAATGTTAAATGCAAAGTGAGATCACTCGTTATTGACAACCGTTGTTCAAATTAGGGTACGAGCAAAGCAGTGGCGGTCCCAGGATTTCCGTCAAACGGGAACGCTGTGCTGTAGAACGTTCACTGAAATAACATCTTTATCTAGTTGCACTATGCATTGCTAACTGCCTTGAACACTCTTCCCGAAACAAACGGTAGGCACAGAGAAACACGAGCTTTTCCTGTTTATGGGTACTTGTTTGAAGTAGCATGGAGTGAGAATTAAATCTGATTGGTAGTTCGGATATCATTTTGTAATTATTTTTTATTTTATTTTATTTTAGTTTACACTCATGGTGCACCAAAGAACAAAAAACAAAAAATAAAACTCTAAATTATAAATCCCCTCTACTGCAAACACTGGTTGCTGTTATAAAATGTCACCATGACTGCGTGATTTATAAGTTGGATGAGCAGGTGTGGCATGTATCATGACATTTTCAGCAGCTTATCTTCCAGTACGACTCAACATGTACTGCGCCGCAGCCAACATCATCTGCGCATTGAGGTAAGGTGAATAGTAGCGTACTCGCGAAACCACTGATTAAGATCGGTGTTTACATGTGCTTCGCTGGGTTCGTTAACTCATTACGTCAGCGAAGTGTCTCTGTGATCCCTTTCAAGCGGTACAATAGATATTACGTTGTAACATAAGTTCTTGTTACACTTTACATTCTTACGGCGATAAGACCAGTGGCGTACCCAGGATTTCCGCTCGGGAGGGGGCGACAAAAATTTTTTTTGAATGAAGGTGCGTGGCGTTAGCCACGCACTCCAAAAAAATTTTAGGGGTGCTTCTCAAAGTTTTCACGGGTTCCCAACCCCTAAAATCAGGAAAAAGGGGGCGTGGCTGACGCCACGCTTCCGAAAAAAATTTTTTTACAAGGTTAATTTGAATTTTTAAAAATTTTTAAAAATTATTTTAATTACTCACAAGTATAGACAAGTCACTTGCACATTTTATAACCCATATAAGTAACTTTCAAAAATTTCGCGACCCATTCCCGGGGGGGGGGCCGCCCCCCCCCTCGGTACGCCACTGGATAAGACGTAAAGTTCATGTTTTTAATTAAGATTCTGCACCACTGGATAGAGCAAAGCAAGCTCAACAAGAAAGTTTGCAAAACTTTGCACCAGCTTCAACTCACCGTAAGTTTGCATTCAGAATCTGAATCGTACCAGGCTCACAAAATAGGAAAAAATCCATATCTTCGTTCAAAAAAATCCTACGGATCTCCAACTTGCTCACACAAATTGCACAGTCAGACACTCATATGTGACGTTACAGGATTTTTTCCTCATTTAAAAATCGAGAAAATCCCATCTCATTGTACAAAAACGAAGCTATCCTGTGTCGATTCATGTGATTTTATATCACGGATAACTTTTTAACTTCCCACAAGCCCTAACTTTAGATAAACATCGGCTTTAGCATGGAGTCTCAAAGAGGAGAGCTATGTTTGGTAATTTTTGAAACTAGGACCTGTGGGAAGCTGAAAATTCACGGTTATACTTCTAAGGGCTTGTTATACAATTTCAAGAGTAGACGTAGCTATACTTTTTTTGTATGGACGTAAAAACGTTTCGTTTTCTCAATTTCTGTTTGAAGAAAAAATCCAGTAACGGAACATATGAATGTCTCATGTGGTATGCAGTTTGCATGAGCAAGTTGAAGATCCGTAAATTTTTTTTGAACGAAGGTATGAATTTTCCCCTACTTTTTGAACCTTGGAATTTCAGATTCTGAATGCTGCTTGAACTTTGATTTTCGGATTCTGAATGCTTACGGTGAGTCGAAGCTGATGCGAAGTTTTGCACATCTTCTTGTAGAGCTTGCTTTGCTCTATCGAATGATGCAGAACCTTTATTAAGAATATGAAATATACGTCTTATCGCCGTAAGAGTTTAAAGTGTAATAAGACTTATATCAAAAGTTATGGCATACTGAAACGGCCCATTCCTTTCCTGGCTGTAGGATTGGTTAGTATGCACAGCCTGTCGAGAACAACACAAAATTTGGCCACACTTGGCTTTCTCTACGTTCAACCGTCTTAGCCCTGCGAATGCCCTTAGTCTTCCTGCTGTTGAATCCTTGGCTAATAGTTCACTTTGCGCTTCAGTCACGATTTCAAACCGTCTATGCTTAAGTTCCTCTGACAGCGCCAATATGACGCTTTTTGCACCTTCTTCAAGGTGATTATCCCCATAATTTCAATCAGCATCTGGACCCCTAATCACCTCTTGGTATTTTCTTTTAAGACTTCTTAAAAATTTCCTAAAACTTTTACCTATCACAGTTGTATATACCAAGGTTCACGCATGCGTTAGCATGCATGAGAGCTATCAAGCCTTGAGACTAACCTGTCTTCGGCACTTCCGCAAATGCTGTTTCCAACGCGATCCTAAGGGGTCCCCATTCGGCGTTCACGTAGCTTGTTCTGTAAGTTCCACAATAAGTTCCATACGGGCTGTGGAGCAGGAACTTGAGAGCATAAAGCAAAAGAGAAGACGTGCAAATTCTACGAGAAAGAGGGTCGTCTATGGACGTCGAGCAAGACTGATAGTAACCAAATTTAACGCCTTGTTCAAGGAATTGAGAAACACACTTAGAGATACTTGTGCAGGAGAGGCTTTCAAATCACCCAGAGACATGACGACGCTGGCATGTGGTATCTCAAAAGATACATTCACGAAGATGTTGAGAACCCAAGGATCGAACAATGATGAAAGAAGGAAAACCCACTCAAGGAAAGATACTATAATGGCAGCACTGAACAAGCATGGGCCTGAATGGGGTGAAACGATAAAACTAGCGGCCCATCATAACTTGAGGGATGAAAGGGATATCACCATAAGAACTTTGCATGAAAAGCTATCCTCCGCCTACGAAAATTTCAGCCTTTCCAAAACAACTCTGCACAGACTCTTAAAAGGTCTGGGATTTTCGTTCAAGATCAACAACAGGCAACCCTTCATTTTTGAAAGGGCTGACCTCATCGCGAAAAGAAGAAGTTACCTGCAAGCCATTGCTTCCGCTAGAGAAAAAGGAGATTACATCGTCTTCATGGATGAGACATGGATATTTAGCGGCATGACAAAAAGGCGCGGTTGGAATGACAACACTATACCTATATTTGCGTCACGTGCGACTATGGAAAGATTATCATGTGGTGGAAGAGCAGCAGGCAAAAATAAAGGAAAGCGATCAATAGTTGTTGGCGCCACAGCGGAAGACGGTGTAATACCAGAATGCACCAAAGTGGTGGTCAGCGGGGTGCGAGATTTAGATGGAGACTACCACAAGGACATGAGCTCGGATTTGTTTGAGATGTGGTTGACTGAAGCTATCCCTCACATGATAAGGCGTGCAAATGGCAAGCGCGTTAGCTCAGTAATGGATAACGCGCCTTATTACTTGAAGACAACTAGAGAAGATACCAACAACTTCTTCCACAAAAAACCAGATACGAGAATATCTAAGCGCGCACGGAGTGACGGTTCCAGAAAATGCCACAAAGGCCGGTTTGTTGAAACAGGTAAGCTCTAATCAACTAGAAGGAGGCAGTAACCTTTTTCATTCAGCTTGAAGACTAGGTGCAAGCGCGAGGGTGATACTCTGCCGTACGCAGTTATGCTACGGAAAAAAATTGCGAGGAGTTCGGGGTCAATTTGATCAGGCTCCCTCCCCCCCCCTTCCATTGCATTTTCAACCCAATTGAGTTGTGCTGGTCTCAGCTTAAAGCATTCTTAACCAGATGCGGAAGGACAGCCGACAAAGTTGAGGTGGTACGTCCATGACAAAAATTTTCCCTGAAGACTCCATGATTGTGACCAAAACACAAAGGGCCATGCAACATGAAAGCATGATTTAGGTGAAGGAACGGACGATACAATGGATGGCGACGGTTTCCACAGAAGTGGCAGTCGGATGGTTCCGAGAGGCGATGTGGCATGAAAGCCAAGCGCGGGAGAAGGGGGCAATAGACATGAATATCTATCATCATCCTCGTCTATTGATATAGATAGCGAGTACGAAACCGATGACTCATATACATTATCATCCGATGAAAACTGACTTTCACGCAAATGTGATGATGTGTCCATATGATGTACTACACATGAAGTAATATAAAGAAGCCTATAAGACCAGTGCCTTACATAACTTTTTATTGTGAATTCATTCAATGAAACAAAAAGTTAAACAACAATAAGTAAGGGTTGTTTCATACTGCAGTCGCTGCAGCAACGGCAGTCAATCGATCGATATACTTTACCCGCTCCGATACGACTGCAGCTGCTGCAGAGACTGCAATATGAAACAACTCTAAGACGTGATACAAACCACTACAAAAACAAAATGATAGAAACAAACATAAATCCGTTTCGTTCCTATCCTTAGATGGAAACATATAAAATTTGCCCTCCCCGGAACTCATTAGTAAGGAGAAAGGGCAGTAAAAGTGTAAGAGTTGTTTCATACTGCAGTCGTGCAGCAGCTGCAGTCATGTTGAGGCGGGCAAAAGATATTGATCGATCGACAGTCGTTGCTGCAGCGACTGCAGTATGAAACAACCTCAAGCACACACTATGCAAGAGAAAGCCAAAAAAAGTATGCAAAAAGAAAAAAGTATGTAAAGCAAATCACAAAAGAACCGTACACTATACAAGAAAGCCACGAAAACTATGCAAAAAAAGAAAAAAAAGTATGTAAACCAACCTGCAAATCACTGGAGATCCATTTCCGCAACAAATCACGGCCGAAAGATGTGTCACAGCGCAATCACCGCATGAAAACCGCTTGCTCTGGAAAATGATACTCAGCCGACCGGGCGAATGAGAATTTACGATTTGTACGCAGCCAAATTAGAGCCCGATCGATACCCGCATATGGAATTACATATGCGGGTATTTGTGAGGATTATGGCAAGCAAGAGTGATGCTTTGGCTATAAAGCTATAAGGCTATAAGCACAAGCATCTAACATTAAAAATGAATGATGAAATCAGACGCACGTTGATAAAAATCGAGAAAACCATCAGAAACGGCAAAAATACGACATCGAGACCGATAAACGCGGTATTGATTGGCACCTGGCAAAATGCCCGGGGCCGCACTTGCAAGCGCAGCGCACCCAACGCGCTGCCGAGCGCAAAACCCCGCCCAAACGTATCGGCCTGTCCGAATTGGGGCAGACTGTACGTCTTGCTGCAAAGGTGTTGCTTGTTTTTGGTTGCAACTTCGTGTGTTGTCTCTCTGTCAATGTTTTATGAGTAGCTGATAAGGTATCTTATACGAGGATGATTACAAATGTTGCTTATATCAGAATAAGAATTTGGACCTTATACGGGTATTCTTAACGCGACTAGTTTTTCAGGTTAAGGTTAAATTTTAAGGTTTAAGGTTAGTCTTTCTTCGCAATCGCTTCCTGTTTGAGTAATGGAGATCACTTGTTCTCTGAATCTTGCTGAGAATCTCATTACTACTATAGATATGCCGGGTTTTTATGGTTGGTTATGGTTACCCCCACATCGCTAGAAGTCCTCAATCTGCAACAGAACCGTTTGGAGGCAATTTCTCCTCAGGTGAAACACTGGCGCAGAGTGGTAATTTTCTTTGCTCATGTCTCTTTCAGTTTTTATCGTCGTTGCCTCAATTAACCACTTTGAATGTTTCCCGTAACTGTCTCAACCAACTGCCGGAATACGTTTGTCTGTGTCCCTCATTAAAGGAGCTCAATGTTGCATCGAATCATCTTAATTCTTTACCTATGGCGGGAAATATGCCGAGAATTGGTCGAGCTTCTCGCAGTGTACAACCCTCCACGCCTACTAGTCCGATAGCAGGCTCAGATGCTGGTAATTGCATATGGTTATCATATCTCGCACCTCATAAGCTACCGAATTGCAGTCGCAATCAGTGATGGCGTAGAAGAGCCTACTAATGTTATCACAAAGCCGCTAATTCGACAGAATATCTGGCAGTCAGGAATAAACTTATCAAAGGTATCCAGAACTTTACTCGAAATATTTCTGCTATATCGTTAGCGTTGGTGTATCTATCTTAACACAGCATCAGTTTTGCCAAAAAGCATCCGTTATTTGTTACAGTTCATCCGTGTAGTTGGAACCTAGAATTCTTACTTTTCAAACAAAGGACATCGGATTACGAAAAGAATCTGTGTTTCAGGTCGATGATGAAGACCTTTTCCCTGATTTTCCCGTGACGTCCTCTAGCACCTCACGACATTGAACCTTTCTGCCAATAGGGTCAGGTTTGAGACAATTTTAAATTTTCTCATAATCTCTGTTATAGTTCCAAGTGTTCCCTTTCTGCCTTGCTTGTACGTGCCCTCGCTTGCTCACTTTGAACATGAGCTTTAATCAGCTAGTTTGCTCAATGACAGGGGGTGTACTGATCATCAGATAGTTGATTTATCCCCTTTAAGCCTGTAATGCCTTGTGTGATTAAGGCAGCTTTGACTACTTATGGAGCCTGCTCTAATTTACCGAGCGCTGTGCGTTTTACTGCTCGGAGAGCAAAACAATGTCACTTTTATACAATTATGAATAGAGTAGAATTCTAATCAGTAGAATTCAAGTAGAATTCTTAAGTATTTTACTCAATACGCTTAATACCTCTTAAATCTCAAAAGATATTAAGTTGTTGTAACTGAGTAACTTACAGTTTCATTCATCATCGTCGGGGATATCAACAGAAGGGATATGGCTAGGGTAAGCTATCCTATCACTATCTCCTGCTATTCTGACAGTGTAGGCTTAGGAAGGCATTGGACCACGTTGAAGTCATCGCGGATGAAGTTTTAAAGAGGCGAGACCTCCTCTGGGACAGCGCCGGCACGAGACGGCCCAATCAAAACCATAAACGCACGGAGGCTTGGAAGGAGATCCGTCGTTGTTTAGTAAATGCAACCGGGATTTGACCGTAGACAAATCAAGAGGATTTGGCGAAACAAAAAGGGGAATGTCAGGGCTTTACTGATGCAAGAAAAAAAGTAAATTGCTTTTCTTCTTGGACAGATCCAGTACCACAGAAGTCTCCTTGCAGTTATCGCAACGCCACAGGGGGAGGCGTCAATAAAGCGCTGGAGGAGGCCCTAGCAAAGGGCCTCGGTTCGATGTCGGAGGCGGATGAAAAAATCGCCAGAGCCCTCGGCCCGGAGGTCAGCTTCGGCGGCCTCCGGGTCGCTGAAAGCTGTGTTGGCGTAAGTGAAAACTTACCCACATATCTACACAATTTACACTAACAGTTTAGGCCGCGCCACCCTCCGAATGCTCCAACCCCAGAGCATCGCAGGAATTGCTTCAACAGCTGTCCACGGTGAGCGATTACTAGCTTCACCACGTATTTTTAATCTCGTATTTACAGTTTGAGAGCGACAGTGATACCGATCGTGAGGAAATACCAAGAAAAAGGGGCCGTAAGCCTAGAGTTCGCGAGAAGTTCCTAGAGGAGCAAACTAGATACATTAGGGTAGTATACCTGCATCTCTGCATATATTAACTCAAAGTCTTTTTGCAGCAAGGAGGCTGTACCTCGAAAAAAAAATATGCGATGCTCACTAAAGTGGACTCCCTCCTCGACAAGATCCAGATCACTGTATTTATACAACCCAATAATGGAGCTGTACACACCGCAGGACAAAGGACGACAAAAACCGATCCTAATATAGAAGAGTCTCTTCTTTTATCGCGATTCTGATGCCTTGCGATGAAAGAAGGAACTCTTCTATATAAGGATCGGTGTCATCATGATCATGATAATTCATTGTTTCATTTATTGTTTCAAAAACATTTGTTGACATGTGGTGAACTTTTCTGATTTTCTCATCATGACTGTTGTTGTTCAATATTTATTGTTTCAAACAATTTTCTTTACGTGTAGTGAACTTTTCTCATTTTCTCATTATGAGTACTGCTGTTCAACATTCATTGTTTGAAAAACATTCGTAAATGTGTATTGAAATTTTCTGGTTTTATCAGAAACTTTTGAAATGATACATTAGAAGTAATAAATTGTCTTTCTGCTACCTATATTCATGTGTATTTTCCGATCAGTAAAACTAAAGGAACACTTCAACTATAGTGATTAGTGAAACGATATTATTTATAAAACACCTCTGCAACAGACAGGGGTTCTATTTTATAACTCTGAAATAAAGAGCAGGATTCCCCATGGTGTACAACCCCGGTACGGAGTTCGTGCGAGCTGCCACGCTGGCACTACTTACTCAGCGCTGAGATCCGTTTTTAAACGTTTGTGGACCTGACATGGAGCGGGCACGAAGCTGGCACGCTGCTGGCACGACCTACTCGGCTCTCCAGACCCGTTTTTCCATGTTTAAGGAGCCGGCACGAAGCTGGCACGCCGCTGGCACGACTTATTCGGCTCCCCATGCCCGTTTTTACATGTTTACGGAGCTAGCACGGGGCGCAAAAGCTTGTTTTCACAGTTTTGCTTATTGTAGCTTCAAGGCAGCTGCTTTCAGCACTAATTTATTGTATGGTGCGCATTCTCTTGCCGCTTCTGCATTCATGCGGGACATGAATGTTTGGTCGAGTGGTTAGCGCAGAGCAGTGGCGTACCCAGGATTTCGGCTCGGGGGGGGGGGGGCGGCAGCCTTCAACCCCTAGAATCTGGACCCGAAAAATTTTTTTATAAGGCTAATTTGAATTTTTAAAATATAAAAATTATTTTGATTGCTTACAAAAATAAACAAGTCACTTGCACATTTTTAAAACTCATGTAAGTAACTTTCAAAAATTTTGCGACCCGTTCTCGAGCGCCCTCCCCCCCCCCCCGCCCCTCCCCTCGGTACGCCACTGGCGCAGAGGTACTCAAAGGCGAGAGGTGGAAGTTCGAGGTCGCGTGCCGCATAACTTTTGCGGTAGATTGGGAAACTACGGCACGCTTACCACTGCTTCGCCATTGCAAAGAATGTGTGTCTGGTTAATCGGTTAGTGCGCCGGCGTTCGAGCGTTGCATGCAAGTTCGCAGCGTGCGCGATGCGAGTGTTTTGCGGCGGTCTGCCTGCGCCCAGTCTGCGAGTTCACGCCGGAGTTGGCAACTTTCCGTGATGTGTGCCAACTTGGCGGCATCTTTGATGCCGCCAAGTAGGGTAGATTACTACCGGCCCTAGTGTGGGACGTCCTTCACTGTTTGGGGATTCTTTCCTTTTCCAGAGCGTGTCATAAGAGCTGTCAAAAGAGTGTTTAACTTGTGTCCGCCTGCTCTCAGTAGGTTGGCGGTGATTCTGTCAGTACCAGGAGCTGTGCCTGGTTTCATGCACTCTATGGCCGAGCGCACTTCCGAAGGAAGAATTCTGTGGCTGCTCACCGGTGAAAATGATAGGGTCTGGTACCGGAGTCGTGGATTGAAAAGGCTCGTTATAGAAGTCCCTCGTTATCGCTTCCATTTCCGTCGGGAATTCACTAATCTTCCGTCCTTATTCAGTAGAGTCTGCATCGGTATCTCGTCTCGCGAAGGTCTCTACGACATCTCTTTAGACTTGCCCTTTGTGTGCTGCTTCCAATATCTTCATTTGTCAATATCGCTTCAGATCCTCTTGTACGGCTTTTCTGCAAATGCCTTGAGTAATACTTGCTTCAGATGCGATGTACTTGAATCTGCGTGCAGGGTTGTCTTTTTCTGAAGAAGCTCTTGAGTTTTGTTTCGTCAACGTCACAAGCCTTTTTCCACGTTGAGAACTGCCTGCTCTGCACAGCTGCGTAGCCCTCCAGTCAACTTCTCTAGATCTTCTGTTGGATCTTCGCATTTCTTCCAACCATATCTGAAAATGGCGTTCTCGAAAATGCGTTCGTCGTAAATGGCTTCTCTTCTAGACTTCGCGCGATGGCAAGATAATCTTCCATTTTTCGATTGAAGCGGATCTTGGCACGAAGTAGACGGTGGTCCGAACCTGTAAGAACGACGGAACCACTCCGACATCGATAAACTCCACTTCTTATTGATAAGAATATGATCGATTTCTGCATGCGCCGTTCCATTTGGTGACTCCCACGTCCAGCGGTAATGCTCTTTTTTTGGTAAAACAAATTTCCATGGAATAAACGAGCCGCTTCGATGAATTCGACGAGTCTGTCTCTCCGTTCTCGTTCCGACTTCCCAGTCCAAATTTTCCAATTCTGTCGCCTTGTTGGTGTTGTGGTTGTCTTATTCTTGCATTGAGGTCGCCAACGATAAACTTTTAAGGCGAGTTCTTCTTGCGAATGGCGTCTTCCAGCTCCTCATAGAACTTGTCTAGTTCGGATTCATCTGCTGCATCTAAAATTGGGGCGGGGCCCTGGAGGAGATAGCCCCGCCCCAACGAAATACACGTGTATCGATCGAAACGCTGGCGTAGCGCTGGCATGGCTTCGGCACTCTGGCGGGAGCCTAAGAGTCAACGAGGTGGCTAACGAATTGTTGTACGACAAATCTCACGCCTCCGACTTTTCGTATTGAAACCTTCTCTTTTTTGTGATAAGAGTTCCATCCTTCCTTTCGAGCGTAGCCGAGCGTCAGTTCTTTGTTTCCTGCAAAGCAATCACATCAGTGCGGCTTGCGGCGTCTAGGAAAACGAAGAGCTCGTGGGCTGAAGCTAAGGTCCTTGCATTGTATGTGCACAATCGAAAACTGCCCTCGTGTCTTGTCCGTTTTGTTGCCGATAGGATCAATGGTCTCGCTTTTGCACAGTTTTCTTTGTCCCTCACCTGACGTACTGCCATCCGCGTCCCAAGCGGCAGACGAGCAGGTGCGCAGGGTACTGGGGCGACTGGTTTTAAGTTGCACAAGCCACTGAATTTCCCGCCACCCTAGATAGCCTGACTGGAGCGTTCCTGGGGGTCGAAGCAGTCGCCGCTCCTTGTATGACACTGACGGTTTTTGCCTCCTAGCGACTTCAGCATGCGTTGTCAAGCAGGTGGCAATGAATCTTGACATAATGTTGTCGCGGAGTAATCTGCTTTGTCTGGGCTGACCTTCTTACTACACTCAGAGGCACCCCCTCTCCACGTTGAAGAAGCAGATCGTGAAGGGTCGCCGACACTTTTAAGAATAAAACCTGACCATTTGAAGATGTTCTTGAGGGCCTTTGCTAAGAGTAGTGATGCGAGCTTTACGAAGTCCAAAAGTTTCCAGATTTGCAATATGCAAGTGCGCGAAAACTGCAATGCATCACTGTAGACATTTGGCATTCAGTGATACAACAACAAATGCTTCTCAGAAGCAATTTTGATGGTGCCCTAAAAGCAAGCTAGTCTTTTTCAATAGCCAAGTATTGCTCGTGCCTTTCGCGTATAACTTCTACATTTTACATGTTGAACTCATTGTGATGTGCGTTTTATCAAAGACTGACCAAGCACAAGCAGTCTAACCCATGCGAGAAAGAGTCACGTTCATAGAAGTGCAAGAACGTTTCTTCCTTATCTTTAGAAGCGCGGAATAAATGAAGCATGTTTTGGGAAAACAACATTTTTGTATTCAATTTCATCTTTTCATATGAACTCGTTTTTTATGGCTGTTTACAAATCCGCTACCAATCTGAAATTTCCGGAAACCTACATTGTGAGCATTGGTGTTGATTAAGAAAAGCATTTACTCTCTGATCTGTGAAGTTCGTATTTGCCTTGCACGTGCGTTGATCTTTTCTTTCAAGTTGCTCAATTTTTATATCCTGTTATGGAGAGACCAAGCATGTTGTGTTAGCTCATCTTGAAAATTTTTTTTCAATTTTGAAATTCTCCCGCGATAAGTCATACACTTCTCAATTTTGATTAGGTTATAATACCATTCATTAGAACAAAGCAAGCTCTATGAAGGGCCGGGCTACATCACGCAAATTCGTGGCCGCGATTTCTGGTCGTCGCAATTTGTTACAAGCAGCGACGAAATCGCGACAACTAAATCGTTATGTTCATGGCCATACTTCTGCGGCGATTCATGCATCCTCCCACCTGAGCAATTCTCAAACTAGTTATATATCAGTATTTGTTCTCCATTCAGCTTGATTTTTTCATTTGTACTTTTATTTTGTAGTCCAGAATCATTTCCAACCGCAAGATCACATTAAAATTTGACTCTATTCCAGTATCTGAGCCTCACAGTTTCAAAGCCGCAGATTTTGCTCAAACTCGGTTCAAAGGGGTTATTTGACCCATGACCAATTATCAATACTATCAATTATTGCTGATGCCAACTATCATCATCACTGTGCTTGGTCAAATGACATTTCCTGATGTCACGGCAGGAACACATAAGGGACAAAATTATAAATTTGGCTAGGATTCCGTTTAGAGAAGTTATTCAACATGCTGATCACAAATATCATATTCACATCTCGTCTTGGGACATACAAGCGAAGTTGCGGTGAGGTATATGGTAGGTAAGAAAATCAAAGACTTGCCTGAATCTTGACGCAGTGAAGTTTGATGTTTTGATCACGAATATTGTAATCATTTCGCATGATGAGCTTTTAACAGACTCTTTTGTATTCAAATTGACGCAGGAAAAAAATGCTAATTGCTATTGTTGTGGTTGAACAGATTACAAGAAAATGACGCTTTCCTAGATTATCATCATGTGGCCGTATTCATCAACGAACCCAGTGGGTTCCGGAACCCACTGGGTTAGTGCTTTTGATGAATATCGATTTTACCCTGGAGTAGAATCGATTTTCATCAAAAGCACTAACCCAATGGGTT